CATTCCTTTCCCCAATCCACCTAACCCTAGACCTACTCCACTCTCACTTGATCCTCTTCTTCCCACAGCCCCTCTCTTTCTCACTCCTCCATTATTCGCCTTGAGATTAACAAGCGGATGATGAGCCCTAACTCTCGCCACTCTCGCCAATGAATCTGGTGTATTCTCCACAGCCAAGTTTTCTCTTGTACTTTTCGATAATACTGAACCAGAACTCGAAGCAGTTGGAGCCGGTACATTATCGCTTCGACTCGTAAATCTACTTTTCAAGTAACGAAAGACCATTTTAATATCCAAATCTCTCTCCCATTCTTCTCTTGTAATAGGAGCACTATATGATTGTCTTGGTGTTGAATCCTCCAATTCTTCTGCTTTACTTTGGTTTGGGATCGATATTGGTTGAGGGATTGTAGGATGGAATTCTAGATCGTGGTCGGTATTTAGAGTTGAGGCGAGATGTTCTTCTTGCTCTTGTTCTAGTTCCAGATCCGGTAGAGGAATGCCCGTAGCCATATTTGAATTGCTACTCGATGCTGATTCTGGGATGACGGGTAAACCTGCATAAGGAAGAGGTGTCTGCTGAGATTGGAGATATGTTGTAAAAGCACCAGGATGATCTGAGAGCTGATTAACCAACAACCCCAATTCGCGAGCTATTCGTTCAAGGAGTCTATATTCCCACGAACTCTTATCAGGTTGTGTGGCCGTAGCGGGAATAGGTATGGCTCTTCCTGATCCTTTTGATAGTTCTTCTTCTATCGGTAGAGATTCGCCAAAGATGATTGAAAGGAGATCATCATCGATACCCATTAGATCTCGTATAACTCTTCGAGTGAGTCTGTTCCATAAACTATCATTTTCGCGTGTAATCGTTGGGGCAGGTTCTGCTTCGACATTGTTCAATGTAACCAAGTCCTCTTGTTCCTTATCTTCAACAACAGTACTCCTCTTTTCACTAGACATAGATTGTTTCCTCCTTCTAGTCTCCCGTTGTATTTCATCCACCAAAGCTCGACTCTGTTCCAACCTCCAAATTTCAATCCTCCTTGTCCTTTCCATTTCCGCTGCTTTCTCACTCTCCAAAGCCATTTCTCCAATTTCCAAACTTTCTCTCCTCCTCTTTACTCTTCTCGGATTGTACTGCTCGAATGCATATAAATGTTGTTGGACATCCTCGCCAATCCCATCTACCCTAAAACTCCCAAATCCATCGTGCTTCGGTAAAACAGGTCCCTCCTCATCTTCCCTATTCCCATAGACACTTGGATCCGTCCGAAACTCATGTAAATGGCTATCCAGGGAATCCAATTCAGCATCCTCATTATCATCCTCTGTTTGCGCATCCACATCCTCATCTACGTCATGATCATCGTAAATTCCATAACTTCTCGCCGCAGTTTCTAAACTTCCAAAATCACTAATTCTTGAATGACCAGCTGTGCGCGTTCCTCTCGTCCTCCCTGTACTAGCTGTATAGGTACCCTCTGTAAAACTTGGCGCAGCCGGTGAAAATAACACCCATTCTTGACTTGCTTCTAAACGCCCATCTCTCTCTTGTGCATTTTGTTGACTTCGCGTCTGCGAATTCGCATCTTGGTTCGGTTGCGTAAATGTTCGAGGGGCATGATGTGTAGGTTGTCTAAAAGCCATCTTTGGTATGTTGTACAGATGTAAATAAATACCAATAAGATGTTAGTCTAAAATCTCGTTTGTGATCTCGTTCGTCGTATCTTCGTAATGGAATTGAAACAATCGCAGTGGGTTGTAATGATATCGAGGTGAGAATAGGCTATTAATGAGACTGTTTGAATGTTTCGTGTTTAGTAGTATGACTTCGTCAATAGAGGGGTTCGGGTCTCGTATGATATTGATCGAGAATAAGGTTGTACGACGACCGAATACTCTAGTGTATTAGATACTTTAGTTGGATAAGGCGACTTTATAGACTCAAGTCTTGACGTATCGTTTTGACGTATAAGTATCTCTAGAATCTCTCTCTGGATTCTCGACTCGGGATTCGACAGGCAAATTCCACGGCGCTCTCTGGACAATGAGGTTATAGTTCTAGTAATCCCCCGCGTCTCTACTAGGCATGTCCTTTGATGAATCAAACTTGAACAGAATAATAATCCAGAACCAATAAACAGAATATCAAAAACTTCACTCCTCAAGATATGGTACCAATACATCAATAAATATCAATTGTACGTACTCGACAATACGTACAAACGAGTCGTGTCTGCTAGTGCAAGATCAACGGCTAAACCCACTGGCGTGACTGAACTAAATGGATAAGTACAGCACGCATACACGTGGACGGGTGGATAAGACTTGTTTTTGGATAAGGAATGGCGGACGAGGTGGGCTCAGTGGGGTTTGGATATCAATGTCTCAGATCAAAGCGATGATAGAGGTGGTAGAGGTGATCACTGACAGATGAAAGGAAAAGGAATGATTGGAATAATGGGATTGTTTGAAAAGAAAGAAGAAGGAATATGGGTTCGTCTACGAGTTAGATAAGAGGAAAGCAGAAAGAAAATGTTAGAGGAGTATTTAGTACAATCAAAAATTGTTGAGTAAAGGTTGGCTTAGCTGATACTGGCGAGTAATGAACTGATTGTCTAATATCTACATTTCTGAATTTTCCCTTGACTCTGTTTCATTGAAATTAGATAACCTAATCATATGTACCCTATGCATAGATATGTATCTAAGTTCATCATCCATCCATCATCCATCATTCATCACATCATCCCACGCAATCAGATTCTCCCGCCATATCCCGTACTCGTACCGTCCTTGTGTCTTATCATCCATTCCCCTTCTAAACTTTCTTCCCATCCCTCTCACACAGTTGGATATGCATCATCAACCTAATCCATCCGCCATCAGCCATCATCTATCAACTATCAACCCAGCCGCGATAAGCAAAGAAAATCTCTCAAAATAGTATACCACAATGGTGCAGCCGCAGTCATGCCAGCCAATCAATTCGGTGTGAGAGCGTCTGAGATGAGAGGCTAGATTATGAAGGGAATGGTCTGTAAGGCGTAAGATTTTGTTGGATGGAAAGATCCGGAAGAATCAAGTCCCATTGCCACGACTTGCTGATCTAATAAAACTTAGAAGAGGCAAGAAGACTCGGTAATGTTGTCATGATTGTCGTGATTGTCATGTTGCATTGTTAGTTTTTGGTTTCATTTCAAGCGGCCCGATATACCACTTCAGATTGCCTCTCTCGTCTTGGCTGCTGAGTTGTGAGCTGACACGAACCCTTGATTGTCGTCCCTTACTCGACCCATAATGTTGGATATCACAAAAAAAGAATGATCTTCATGTCAATATCACAGATAGTCACGTCACCAACTAGTCAGACATGGAAAATAACATGATGAGTTTTTGAAAGTCGTAGAATCAATTCCTTAGGTACAATGATTAGGATTTGTGTCTGCCACTTTATGTGACACCATGCTAATCCAGCCATTGCAAATGTACGCCTTTCTGATCATACCCCGAAATTCCCTTTGATATCAACAACTCGATTTATGCCTCAGTCTCGAAAGCAGCTGGGAAACGTCTGATGTTATCGGCCAACTTGCCGTGGTTGGACAAGAATTGAACATATGCACCATCGACCAAAACCTTTCCACTTTGCTTCTTCTCCATATATTCTTCACGACGGAGAGGAGTGAAACCCCAGTTCTTGGAAACAATGATCTTTTGGCGACCTGGGAACTTGTATTGGGATCTGCGGAGGGCCTCGAGAGCGTTGGGGCGGACTGAAAATTTGTTAGATGACTGTACATATGAAAGATCATGAATATAAACTTACAAGAGTCACGAGTTCTGATGGACAAGATGATTTGACCAATGTTGACACGGGCGACAGTTCCGTTTGGCTTACCCCAAGCACCACGCATACCAGTTTGCAATCTATCGGCACCAGCACAAGACAACATCTTGTTGATACGGACGACGTGGTATGGGTGAGCACGGACACGGAGATGGAAAGCTTCCTTTCCTGCGGACTTAACCATGTACCTGTTGAGTATGTTGTTAATATCCATCTCGATAATTCCACTTGATCTTCCCAATATCCTCTATCTTTGTTCCATCTCCACTTTGACCAAATTCCTTCGCTCGACGTCATTGATTCGGGTTAAACTCACTTGTTGGCGCAAATACGGGCGGCTTCCAAAGCCTCGGAACTCAATTGTTCATACTCGTTGGAGACCAAGTGAATGCAGAGAGGGAACTCGTCGACATTTGCCTTCTTACGACCGAGATCGAAGATACGAATCTTTGGGTCGGGAACACCACGGTTGAAACGGGACTTTGGGTAAGGCTATAAAATTAAATTTCATCAGTATTGACTCCTTCTGTTTATTGTGATTCTGCGATCGTGAATTTGGCGCTATTTCGATACATTCGTGATCGTTGATGCGAAAAAGCGGTCGATCGAATGGTCGGAAATCCTTCAAATCCACCTCGCACAGTTCGATGATAATTTGCTGGCGGAAAATGAGATTTACACACCTTGTTCTTACAGTATCTGTAACATCTCGCTGGGCGACGGGCCATCTTGAATGATTTCTAGAGGGTCTTTTGGTGTTGGTGTCGATGGGTTTGTTCAAGGGGATCGGGGGATTCAAAAGGGAACTTTCAAAGTTGGATTGATTGCTCAGCAAAGGTGCGCTAGCGCGTTTGTGGAAATATAAGCGAGAATATCTTTAGGGCAAACTTGATAATTTGCCAAATGAGGTAACTGGAGTTCCGGAGATGGGAATAGTGGCAATTTTCTATTTGAAATCAAGTCGATTTCAAATGGAAATGGAAGGTATCATCATGTCTCACAACGGAATTGCTTGGGCTTTATATATTATAAATGTTGTCATTAATTGTCAGCATCAAGATTTCTAAGTATACGGGGTCCGGCTTTTGATCAAGTCCGGCGCTCAGAATGAAATCCTTCAATATCGATGAGCCGGTGTGAGTCACTTTGAACATGAACATGAATCGGGTTACACGCATATCAACACAGACAATATAGGACCATCATTCAATAGATAAAAGAGTAGAAACAGTTTCCTAGAATCAAGGTATATCATTTTGTGATGCTATAAAGCTATGCAAGATGTGCATACTGATACATGTCAAAGATTAATCAATCATGACTGATCTTGTTCCTTCATCTAGAATTTCTCCACCTCAACAACCAATGCTAATGATTGATATTCCTAATCTATGCAGCTTGGCTAGAGAGAATATCGGAATCACCAGCATCCAAGACAGCCATGGTGGAACATCTGAAGAGCTTACCGCAAGCAGTACCGAGCTCAATCTATAAGAAATAAAATAGTAAGCAACTGAATACCCTCCAAAGTCTAGAGAGACTTTATCGCTGGGTAATGTCCTCCCAGGCCTGATCTCAGGCCTGATCGATAGACGGATATTTTGACAAATGAAATGTATATGTACGTACGTTGTTACCGGAGAAGTGGTGAACTTGAGTCTTGGACAACATGGAGTAGTACTCGAGCTCAGACTTGCGGAGAGGAGGGGTGTTTCCGGCAATGATGACGAGCTTGGCCTTTCCAGATCGGAGTTGCTTGAGAGTAGACTTGTATCCGAGAGTGACTGTAGAAGATAATCATTAGTATTTTGTTGAATTGTATTTCGATTGGAACCCATTTATTGCATACCCTTTCCGGACTTCATGACAAGAGCCAAACGACTGTTGATGGAGTCGGCGGTCTTCTTAGCCTTCTTAGTTGTTGGTGCCATCTCTGCGGTTTTGAAATTGGATAATGCGCTCCGGCTGTATTGGATTTGAAAGTTTGGTGTTGTCGTTGAGGTTGTCGAGCAAATTTCGAAAAGTTCGAAAAGTTCGAAAAGTTCTGAATATTTTCAAAGTGTGGGACGCTAAGACCAATTGCGCTAGGTTAGAAATGGACTAGACGTCCGGGAGAGAAAGCGTGACCTAAATGAGTGATTTCATCACGTGACTTGGATTAAGTAGGTAGGTAGGGGAGGCATCCATTTACATGATACAGGAGAAAGTTGTTCTTGTCATCTGGACTTTTGTAGCTATTGAGACGTCAAATATAAAGATGGCCCTGCATTGTTTCGTCGATATGGTTTACTCAGATACAAACTGGACGGCGAGAGGTGATAATCCCAGATTTTCCGGATTCCCCATATTCGAGTTCATGTCAATATCAACAACATCAACAACATTTACCCGGGCTCGAGCCAGGTCATTCACATATGAGGATAACCCTTGATCAAGCATGCTACATCACCCACCACCATCAACATCAACCATGAAATTTTCATGATATCAACAATGAAATTTTCATGAAAAACAGTTGAAGTCAATCAAGTGCCCTCTCTACCGAGGTCCTCTGTACATGAGAGCGTTTGTTCGAAAGAAGTTCCTCGCAAGTGAATCAATACTAGTCCTACTAGGTCGGTATCATTTCCTTATGAAGATGAAAACGGTGAAAGAGCGGAGATTTAAGATCATGCAGCGATGAAAACGCATGGTCCATTGTGCGGGCTTGTATGGATAACAAGAGATGGAAATTTGAGAACAGCCAGTGATTTGCTAGTGATGGAGAAATCCAGACCGTATCCAGGTACAGTAATGAATATCGAAGCCAGAGTTTTATAGATTAAAGAAGATATAGGAGTTGGGTGGAAGAATTAGCTGGTACTTTGAAAACAACACACAATAAACCATTATACAATACAAATGATAATAGCAATATAATATAATAGTAATAGTAATGATAATCATATTAACAATCATCATAATAATCATAATAATCATAATATCCTCAAAATCATCCATCCTCCATCCTCCATCCTCCATGACAAGGGGTTTGAACACGTATAGAAAAGAACAACTACTTCCCTCCCTTTCCTAGGTAGGTACTTTGTTGTAAAGTCAATCATCCTTGGAATCATATCATCCTTCACTTCCATACTTCACTCCATCACACCCTTCACTCCATCACACCCCTCACCTACCGCCGAGCTACCGACGAGTCTACATCGTACCCTTCCTTCATTTGTATCTCCTGATCAGAAAATCAATGCAAGCCCATGGTGCTCGTCGTTCCTTGCTGTCCAACGATACCATCCCGTTACCCAGTCTTTTTTGTTTTCAACCGCATCAACCGTTCACACATGTACATTAGGGCGGTTACCACATACGGTATATGTTGAACAAGATACATAACGAAATCTTATCGCACCGCATCTTACCTTACCTTGCCTTGCCTTTGCCATACCATACCGCATTCTTACTGTATGTAAATTCACCTGAATCACAAGTCAAACATCTGCTTGATCGCAAATCTTAAATTTTACCTCATATACTGTCGTTTCATTCACGCATCTTTGCCAACGGCTGCGACAACAATAAACAAAGCCTCCATCCAAAGTCTCCATCCAAAGCCTCCATATCCACAGAGTGAACGGAAGCGGCATATACATCAACGGAGGAACAGAGAGACTGAGCCACCCTTGAATCTGACCCGACAACCATACAACCATACACCTGCAACCCATACAACCATACAACCATACAACCATACAACCACAACAATCACAAACCTAGTCCTACGAAATCTCCAAGAATAGCTCACTCAGTAACGATCCAAATTTATTCAACACCACTTCACATTCATGCAACACAGCAAATAACCCTTAATCCTTAAGATTATTGAATATTTCACTGCTATCTTGCTACACTCTCTCCATTACCCTTTAACGAGCATACGTTTCAAATCAATTATTTATTACGAAATCACGGTTTCGTTATTTGCTTAATACCCTCATTCAGGATACACCACAGTCACAATGTCAACAGCTACAAAGAAACCCCCAGTATCTTTAGGAGCTGGTCGCAGAACGTCATCAGATACTTCAAGTACCGGTATCCCGAGCAGAACTGCAACACGTTCACCAACAAAAGATTCTTCACCTTCTACAAACGGAACACACGCACGAAGTCGTTCAATACGCAGTGGTACCCCATTATCCGCACGAGCTGCCATGCAACGACCAGGCGCGAGTACATCCAATCTGAGTTCAAACAGTGTACCATCTGTTGCGGACGATGACGCAAGGGCTGAGAATATTGCTCTTTTGGATGATTTGAAGGAGAGACTTCGTAAAACAGAAACCATATCTGAGCAATTCCAAAAGCAAGCTCAAGTTCTCCAGTCAAGATTAGATGAAGCCCTACAGGATCAAGGGAAGTTGGAGGATCGTCTACATGAGAACGAAGAGAAATTAGAAACTTTACAAAATGAAAAGAGAGATGCTCTTCGACAGAAGAGGGAGATGGAATCAATCTATGAAGCCGAGAGAAGTTCCATGACAAAGGAGAGGGAAGAAATGGCAAATCGAGAGGAGGAAATGCAGACGATCATTCAGCGATTAAAGGATTCTCTATCGCAAAGATCCTCGTCAGATGAAGAATCTCGATTGTCTCGACGTTGTAAGTTGCCAGACATTTTATTGGACAATCCATTATGCTAACATTATGAAGCAAATAATTCCTCTCCAAATATCGAAAATGGCCAATTCGCTCCTCCATCCGGTTTAAATCGCAGCGATTCTCGCAACAATTCCAAATTACTTCTTCAAAAAGACAGACTTATTGAATCCTTGCGATTAGAATTGGCAGAAGCTCAAATCAAATTGGTAGAATCCGAGAATATGGGAGGTGGAAGAATGCAAGAGGTCGAAAAATTACTTTTGGAAGCACGTATGACAAATGCAAGATTGATGGAAGATAATGAGAGTTTCCAATTACTTTTACAAGAAAAGACGTTGAACGGCGACTTTTCAAAGGATCATTTTGAATACATGGGTTCATCTTCCAATGCCGATGCGCTGAATGCTTTGGAGGGACGATCACCAGGAGCTTCTCTCGCAGATGAACTTTCCGAACTTAACGACAATGAAGGCGAAAATGATCAACACCGTCGCCTTGAAGCTGAATTGAAATCTGCCAAGGATTCGAATAAAGCTTTGACATTATACATCAACAAAATTATTGAACGACTACTACAACACCAAGATTTCGAAGCAATTCTTGATTCGGATTTCAAATCTGGAGATGCTAAGGGTCCTGTTAATAAGGATAAAGATCTTCCACCACCTCCACCAAAAGAACAAGCTAGTGGCGCATCTATTCTTCAACGTGCAAAGACTGTAGCTATGGGAAGTCGCAAACCAAGACCTCAATCTTTTATGCCAATGAGCCATGGAACTCTCAATCAAGATCCCGAAACAGCACCTAGTATACCATTCGGAGTTGGCCGTTCATCAAGTGTTCGACAAGGAGTTCGTCCTAAATCAGAACAGTATACAGGCGGTGGAGCATCAATTGTTAATCAAATGTACAGAGGCGGCCAAACCTCACCACCCCTCCATGGACCCCAAACTCCTCGACACTCGCAAACCTTTTTCGGGACTGGTCCCATGGCCGGTAAACCCACTTCTCGCCATCCTTCCTTAGGTCAAGTACCCACAACTGGTAATTTCCCGGGTCTCAAGAGCGAAACTAGTAGTATAAGCGGAGATAGCGGTGAGGTCAGTACACCGCCCAGTACTAACAGCCCTCCACGCAAAGAGGCGAGAAAATTTGCGGGTAATAAACCAAAGCCATTGCAATTGGTTCAGGATAAAGAAGAAGAGGATAAAACGAAAGCTAAGAGAGCTAGTTGGATGGGGTGGGCTTTTGGTAGCGCAGGAGCTCAAAAGAAAGAGGATGGTGTTGCATCGGCAGGGGTCCTTGGTGAAGATCCAATTATTGAATAATTGCGCAAGTGGCTGGACACTACGATCTGGTTGAACATTTGAGAGAAATGAATTAGATATGGAGTCATATTGAATTGGGATAATAATTCTTGGGGAGAGATATTGGTTGGGAATTTGTGTGGAATAATGTTGGTGAGATATATGGTTGATGCGTTTGGTGTAGATTTGGAGAATTAGGTGGTGGATATACTTCTTTTTTCTTCCCTTTTTTTCCTTCTATACTTCTTCACTACGGTAGGGTTGGCGGGGAAGGGGGCAGGATATTCTTCCCTCAGTTCGTAGTCTATTTTTACATGGACGTTTATTAGTCTAGATAGACCAGTCTCTTCTCTACATTTTGGGGAGCTTGTTAAGAGCTCGCTGGCGAGAATGATGATGGATGGATACTTTGCATACGTGCATGGATGGATGGATATATATGAAAATGAGAATGAATGGATGAATTTGAATGATATTCTATATGATGATTTCTGAGATGTGGGTTTTTCTGGTGAGTGAATGAGTGAGTGAGTGATGGGTGTGATAGGCGTGGAATGAATGATAGGTGTGAAGTAGATGTGAAGTAGATGTGAAGATTCATTTTCTAGATTTCAAACAAGAGCGTGGTGATTGTGAGTTTTACTTTTGTATGTGTGTGTGGGTGGGTTTGGTTGTATGAGTGAGTGTATAAGTGTATGAGTATATAAGTATATAAGTATATAAGTATATAAATATATGAGTATATAAATATATGAGTATATAAGTGGTGGAAATGATGGGTGGGATGGGATGATGAATAATTTGTAATTTGATGGAGTGGATGTGTGAGTTGTGAGATGGAATATGATTTGGAGAGCGGGAGAGTAGAAAAGATGGTTGGATGGTTAGATGATAGGGTATTGTGAGTATTATGAGTATTGTGAAGGAGTGGGGGTTGGTAGGTATGAGGGGAATAGGAATAGGAGTAG